TATTGATGTAATATATGTATACTTAAATGATGCAATTTTATTGGGGGGGTTATATTGACTGGATCAAATTATTGGGGGGGTTATATTGACTGGATCAAATTATTGGGGGGGTTATAACCCCCCCATCCCCCGTGTAAATTACGCCGGTGGCTGTGAGCTGTTGCCCTGTTTGGTCTGTTTCTGCTCCTCCATGCTGTCACAGACTCTACCAGTGTATGGTGTGGGTGGGGCTCAGTCTAGTGATATTTAAGTCGTGGGTTTGGATTGTTTTTTTTTTTCTGGTCTTCCAGGGTAATTTTATATGCTTGCTTGTACTGGCACTTGGGGCTGGTACAGTATTACAGTGCATTACTATCACTATTTGGCATTGTTTGCTTTGCCCCATGCCCACACATCCAAACATGCATGCAACTAATGATCATGCAAGCCAACCACAGGCACCTTGGGAATAGTTAGTTGGCTACTGGCAAAAGATGATACCTGGTCTGAATCCAAGACAGAGAAACACAAAACAAGCTACTGAAGTTTAGCTTCAAAAGATGTCATCACTTGATTCTCAAAATTATTTTTTAAAAAGGGAATAATCAAAACAGCTTTGAAGCAGTGAGTAATTCTACACTCACTTATATTTGTCTCCAGAGGAACAGTAATGTGTGTAGTTATAATATTGTGCTGGTATTTGCCTCATCTCCAGTGATTTCTGGTATTTAGCAGTAAGTCTGTCTCTCAATAAAAATTATTTTAAACTTTTGCCTATCATTTTGAAACTGGCCAGCAACAAAGTGGATATGTTAAAACTGTTGCCTAAGGATGTGTGAAAATCTTACTACTGTTTAAAACATTTTGAGTCAGTTTGATAAAATCAGCAATTGGGAAAATAATTCAAAATGCTGTGTGTGCAAGAGTAGAGTCAGAATGAAAAAAAGAAAAGAGCAAGGAGAATTAATGTGAGAAAAAGTAATGGATAAAAGGTAAATCAAGGGAAAACATGAAAAAGATGCACGCCTGACCTGTCACAGAAAAATTCTTAAGTCCACCAGTGTGTGTGAATATAGTCCCAACACCAGTCTGGTTCAGGTGGTAGCACTGGATGACTCCGTTTTGATGAGAAGGTTCAGACCAGCTCACATGGAGAGAAAAGGGGCTTACAGCTGTTACCTCTGGAGGCTGCACGCCCTCTGGAACCCCCTGAACTGTCACTGCAACCACCTAAACAGGCAGAAACAGACGTACCATCAGGTGCAGGAATGAATACACAAAAATTATCAAAGCTACTTTTTTTGAATGTTTACAGATTATAAAAATGAAGAAAATAGAAAAATGTATTCTTTCATTACATCACTTTTTTTTCATCCAGACTGCTTTTAATTTTCTCTGCTGATATATTTAATTCTGCTCTACACCATTTTCACATACAAACTTTTCATTTTGTTTATACTTCTTGCAAACTTTAGACCAGTGGTTCCCAAACTTTTCAGCTGTTGACCCACAAAATTTTAGAAGCAGAGAGCTGAGCCCCCATCTGTTGTAACAATAAATATTGTTTTTACGTCAAATTAACAAGCACATAACATTCATCCATCCATCCATTTTCTTCCGCCTATCCGGGGTCGGGTCGCGGGGGCAGCAGCTTCAGAAGGGAGGCCCAGACCTCCCTCTCCCCAGCC